ATACATGGAAGCAGAATATTGTATACATAATAAATAAATAAATCTTTAAAAAAACAACAAAGATAAACACATGAAATGAAGTGACTTAATCTTGATTTAATCTTGACTTAAATCTTAATTTAATCACTATTTTATAACATGAAAACTGCACATCATATCCCACAATTATATGCAATTAATAAAATACTTTTGAGTATTGTTTACATGCCTGTAATCCTAGGACCCATGAGGCTCCTCTCGCCACACCCAGGCCTTCTCGTCCTACCTGCCTGGTCTCCAGGCTCATATTTACCTCTTTTTCTGGCTCCTTGAGCTCGGCTTCTTTCTCTTTGACTCTCTGGACAAACATCTGTCTCATCTCCTCTTCTTTTTTCTGGAGCTCCCCAAGAAACTCATTTCTTTTTGCCTCATAGGTCTCCTGTAAACTGTAGATATGATCAAGTCAATTCCACCCCCTCTGGGGCAACTCCTGGTCAAGAAAATGGGGCCCCAACCATCTCAAGTCCCCTCATCCTCTCTTCCCTAATTCTGATTCTGACAGAGAAATGTAAAGAGAGAACCACAAAAAGGGGAGGGGACAGCTTGGTGTGCAACAGCAATATTATAGAGGAACTGAAGAGGGCAGAGGAGCCCTGGTGAACTGGATACCTATTAGAAGTCTCTCTCTCTCTCTCTCTCTCTCTCTCTCTCTCTATCTCTCTCTCTCTCTCTTTTTCTCTCTCTGCGTCTCTGTCTCTCTCTCCCTTTCCCCACTCTCCAGATGAGGGAACTGGGGCTCACAGAGGCGAAGTGACTCACTGAAGATTGTACACCTGGTTAGAGGCAGAACTAACAGTAGAAGCTGGGTCTCCTGTTTCTTCATTTAAGGCCTCCATCCCACTGCCAGGCCCTGGCTCTGCAACCGACCACCGTGATTTGTCACTGCCTCAAACACTTGTTGGCATTATACCTACCATGTATGTGAACCGCGTGAATAGACATGATGCTAGTTGCTCAGCATCTAGAGCCCAGAGCCACCATGCCTGTCCTACCGGAACTCGGGGTCTAACGGGAGCTGCCTGGATCAAGACCACTGCCCCCAGTCTGCACTTCCTTTTTAAAAAGTAAGAAGCAGCCTGGTGAAGAACAGAAGGGCTGTGTTCCAAAAAAGAGAGCAGCACGTAGGAAGGCACAAGTGGGGAGTGATGTTCCTGGGGATGTGGCCATTCGTGAACAGGCTTGGGGGAATCATGTGAACCACGGAGGAGTGGC